GAGATGGTGGCCCGGCCCGGGTGCGTCTCTGCACTTCTCCCGGGAGCAGAGGTGCCCTGGAGGAAATGACTGCCTCGGCCTTGCAGCCAGCGAGATGGCCTTAAAAACACATTGTGCAACATGAATTGGCTCCCTCAGCACTGTCTGTCCCTTGTCAGGAGAGACGGGATTACAGGGGGGTGGAGGAAGGGCTCCTTTGTCCCCCTTTTTGACCGACTGGTATTGTAACAGCACATAGCAAGACGGTCAGCATGGGATTGAAGGTGAACCCCGTTCTGCTGCCCTAGGCAATAGACCCGTTGTCCCTGTGTTTACATCCGTGCATGCATTGCCTGGAGGCACAGAAGCCAGGAGTGGGCTGGAGTGGATCAGAGACGGGGATGCTGGTTGAGCTGTAGTGGACAAAGGACTGGGTTAGGATAGGCTGGAACCTATAAGGAGCAAAATTGCACCCCGTGGGGGTCAATTTTGAACCGAATGTGTCTGGACTAGGGCTTTTCCTAGCTGGTTCCCACCTCCCAGTCCCATCCAGTCATCAGCAAGGGAGGGATTCCCAAACTGAGCATGCCAAAGCCTGAAAGACCCTGGGCGAGAACCCTGCAGGCTGGCATGGGCCCAGATTGCATTGCCCCATGGAGGAGACTGCCTTGAGGTTGCTGGCTGGGGACTGAATTGCATGAGCTGGAGCTGGCTGGGAGCAATTTGCTTTGGACCAGATGCCTGTTGAGTAGCCAGAAACGTTGCCTATCTTTTTGGGGCCTAGGTGACTTGCTCCATCTCTGCCAGCGCTTGTTTGATCAGTTCAGTTGTTTCTATGGAGGAGGAGAAGATGGTAGGAGACCTGTGGCAGAGTATCTCCCTGGCTGCATAGCAGATAGACTACAGCCTGGGGTTTCCATGGGACTTAACTGCCCAGTCCCTGTGGGATTTAGACACCCAGTGCCAAAGTCCCAGCTTGAGGGTCTCCACACCCACAGGCTACCCTTCTCCTTGGGCAGCTGAGCTGGGGCTTTTGCCAAACACCTGGCCTTTTGTGGACTTGTGCAGGATCAGGCTCAGGGCCAGGACCTTGTTTGAACAAATGCTCATACTTCCAGCACAAACACCAGCCCATGTTGCCAGGGCCGGGTGCTGCCCAGGCTCTGGTGCCAAGGAGTAAGGAGCGGGAAGCCATTTGTTCATTCACTTGCTGGGATTTCTTGGTGTCATTGATTCTGCTGGGAATCCAGTGCCCTGCCTGCAGGCTAGCTCTCATGGGGGCTGCCTGCCTTTGGGAAGGGGTGGGGATAAAAGGGGGTGTAGACACACACGTGAACAAATGCAGGCTGGAAGGAGGGGCAGAGTTATAGGAGCATAGCGGTGTTCCTGCTGGGCTTTCCTTCTGGCAGAGGCAGTGAAGTCCAGTGGCCTGGGAGCTGGACTAGCTAGTTCTGTGCCTGGCTCTCCCTTGTGGAGCAGAGCAAAACCCTGTGCCTCAGTTTCCCCCTTTCTAGATAACTTGCAAGGTGCTCAGGGGCCTGCAATACTGAGCTATCTGGGCTTGGGAAAAGGAGCCTTGTCTTCGTTGTGGCTGTTCAGCGCTTGCGCGAGAAGGGCCTGTCCTGGCTGGGGCTGCTAGCTGGCGGTTCAGTCATCCCTTCACCCTGCCAGTTCCAGGGTTAGCAGCTTCATTTGGGCCTGGCATGAGCATGGAGGAAGAGAGGGGCAGCTCAGAGCATGGAGGATCCCCTGGACTTGAGGGGGTGGATCCCTCTCTTGCAATGCCCACACCTGGCCAGAAGAGGGTGCCAGAAGCTCAGCCTTGGGTGCAGGGAGCTGTATCAGCGCATGGCCCAGGAATGCAGCGGGGCCTGGATGCGGTCTGGCCCCGAGCCTCTCCCACACTTGAAAGCCAGGGATGAGCCCTGACATCTCCATGGGGCCCTGCCCTGGCACGTCCTCTGGATCCCACTCCAGGTGGTGCTATGCAGAGCTGAATGCCTGCTCCCACGGGGCTGCTGCTGTTTGTCGCTGGCTGCAAGCCGGAGCAGTCGGCTTGGGGCGTTCTCCAGACTCTGGGCCGTGCCTTGGGCTTGAAGTGTCCAAGTACCCCACACCAGGGCTTTTCTCCCTGCCAGCAAGTCAGGGTGGCCTTTGAGGAGCATTTCCAGGTGATACAGGAGCAACTTCTATGCTCTCCATGGATGCAGGGCACTGAGCAAAGACCAGGTGGTCACATAAAGCCTCCCTTAGGAGTTAGTTTTGTAGAGCACAGGCATGAGGAGGGCGTAGATTATTGATCGTCCCAAACTCTGGGATGATCAGGGCTCCCCCCACAATTCTGCCCCCACCCACACTTACTCTTCCTGAGAGTGCCCCATGCATGGGGGCTGCTTCAAGCCTCTGCCCACAGCTGTGTGGTCCGTGCACCGGGGTGGCCATGGCAGGATGGGCCTCTGCCGCTGTCATCCCTTGCTGGTTTCCCAGCGGAGGAGACCTGGAGCTGGTTCCCGTGAGCTGCATATGGGGCCAGCTCCTTGGTGGGTGTATTATCCCCTCTTCCGCAGCCAGGCTGGTTAATGTTACTTTTCCCATGGCAGATGGGGAAACTGAGGCACACTGGTATAGTGGCCTGCCCTAGGTCACTGATGGAAGAAATAGGAACTCAGAAATCTCAGCTCCTGGTTCCCCGTTCCAACCACGAAACCTCACTTCCCTCCTAGATTTGGGAATAGATCACGGGGATCCTGACTCCTGGTCTTTTGTTCCAAGCGTGGGATCTCACTCCTCGTCCCAGAACCAGACCCGTATTCCCACTCCTCTACCCCCTTCCTTGCCATTTGGAAGGGTGGGTCCTGAGACCTCGGGGAGGGGAGAAGCAAAGGGAGCCCAGCTTAGGGGCAGACAGCAGGGCTGTCTGTGGCTGCAATGGGGTTATAGCCCACTCCATGGCTCTCAGCCTGCCCCATGCCTTAATTGCCCCGACATTCAAGAGGCAGAGACTGTGCTGTGTGCTCAGTGCTGGGAGTCCCAGCACTTCCAGCAGCTCCCTGCCTCCAATGCGGCTGGTGCTGTTCAGAGCCGCCTCCTTCATCTTCCCGCTTCCATGCACCTTTTGTTTCGCACAAGCCCTGCTTTGTGCTGGGCTGGAGTGGGGCTGGGCTGGGTCCCGCCGGCAGGGGGTGCTCTCCACCCAGGGACGTTGCCTGCACCCAGGCGGGGCTCTCCAGCAGTGGGAAATGCACTGCATTGCAATCAGGTCTCTCCATGGCCCACCTTTTGAGAGCAGTCTGAGCCCCTGGCAAGCATTAGCAGGCCCGATTCTGAAGTCCCTCACCCCGAGGAGTGATTTCATTAACCCCGTGGTGGGGAGCCAGTGTGGCTGAGTGGGTAGTATCCTGGAGTGTGCCTCAGGACACCTGGGTTCTCTTCCTGGTTCTTTTGGGGATGACTCTGGGCACCTTGCTGTGTCTCTGTGCCTCAGTTTCCCCATCTGTAACAATACTAATTTGCTCTGGGGCTGGCAGGTGACCAACTAGAGCTAACTGTTGCTAACCTTTAACCACGAGCATCTCTGTTGCCTGTGATCCAAAGCTGCCAAGCTTTGTAAGTGGGGAAAGGGGTGTAGGCAGGGCCAGATTAATGCATAGGCAAACTAGGCACGTGCCTAGGGCCCAGTTGTACTTATTTTACATATTATAATTATTGAGTGAAAAAAGTAATAGAAATATACAGTGTTAAGGAGGGGCCCATGAGGCTGTTTGCCTAGGGCTCACTACAGGGTTAATCTGGCCCTGGGGGTAGGAGGAGCTGGACCTGAGCAAATAAGTTCTTTGGCATTGTAGCGGCATCACCATAGCCTCTGGGCTCCATACCCTGGCTGCTCCTTTGTTGCCCTTGCAGTTTCTCTATTTGAGGCTGAGAGGGCACATGCCCACCTCTTCCATTTCCCAGGGGAGCTCTGATGGCCAGGATATGTGTATGCCAGGGTGGGGCATTTTTACACCCCTGCCACCCCTTGAAGATACCGCACTTTGCAGGGAGCATCTGAGCATTCATTGGCCCAGAGAGAGGGAAGTTGGCTGCCCAGCTCACTGGCTAGGGCAGGCACCTGAGAGGTAAGAAGTCCTGGGTCCTAGTTCCTGCTCCAAGACCTGTACTCCATTCAGCAGCCCTTGGATACAACACGTCAGCCAGAGATTATGTGACTTGCCCCAGATTGCTGCACAGGCAGGGCAGGGATTTGAACCTGAGTCCATGGTTGTATCCTTATCCCGGCACCTTCCTAGGTGTGTTCCAGTTTATCTAATCTGAGCAAGTGTGGGTGCATCTACACGAGATGTTTGCTGTGGAGTTGCCTAATAAGCCCTGCAGTAAAACATCACCCTCTACATATGAGGTGCTGTCAGGACAGAGTAAACTAATTAACTCCGCCATAGGATAGTACTGCCAAACACAAGTACTATCCTACGGTGAAATTATTTAGTGCACTACAATGCATGTGTAGATGCTGATGGGGCTGCCTGTTGGCTAGCCCCGCACTGGAGCATCCTCTTGCTCCAGTTAGCCCCTCCGCAGCACATCGACCCGAGTCAGAGCATCTCCGGGCTGGCAAGCTGACCTCTGGGGCCCCTTACCAGCCAGGGCTGCTCCAACCTGGCTCAGCATGCTCACATGCAAATGGCATACCCTGGAGCAATGAACTCTACCACAAACCGCTCCTGAATTTATTCAGTCACCTTAATCGCACGTGTAGATGTGCCCAGTATTCTCTAGCCAGAGGCTTTGCCCCATGGCAGCCAGGGGAAGGGCGGCCAGGCACTAAGCGAGCCTGCCACCCTGCCCTTCCCAGAGAGGAATGCAATCCCTGCAGTGAACAAGGCACACTCAGACCTCCTGGCTGGGCAGGCAAAGTTGTGCCAGGTAGCACTGCAACAGCAGCTCTTCCCCTTGTTTGTGGCATTTCAGAGTGTCTCCAATGAGGCATCAGAAAAGGCATGGTGGATGCTCTTGAGGAAGGCACGTGTTTGATCAGTGCTGGCCAAGAGTCACCCTGGAGCTCAGTTGATTCACTCTTCCAGCAGGGTATTGGAGTAAAGGTGCACTGTGGGTAAGGAGCTATGTGGGGATCCTCAGGAAAGGTCATACAAATGCAGCAAGAGTAGGGGTCTGCATCTTGGACTGGGAGCTTGGAAGGGTAAGTCATATAAGTGCGTTCAATCTCTGTGTGGACACTCTTATTCCAGAGCAAAGTGCTCTTAACTAGCTGTAACATAATCTTTCTTCAAGGTGAGCATCCACGTGGGAAACCTTAGCATATGCATGTTGCATTCACTTCTTTGGGGCATTCATCTGATCTTCCCCTAGATACCTCCCCTCTCTGTGAGTGACAAAAACTAGGTTCCCTACTTGCATAGCAAGGAGCAACCCATTTCTCAAAGGCATTTGCTGTCTGGATGCTGTAAGAAAATCATTGACACCCACCAGCCTTTTCCCTTTCCATGCCCACTCCGTACTTTATTAAACAACCATAGCATTGGGGACCCGACATGCTGGTTACAGGGATGCTACAGCAATTAGCTACTGTACAGAAATGTGGAAATACTGTGTTTTGCTCAACAGAACTACACAAAGAGGCCCTCTCTATTAACTCAACTTCTGTGCGAGCCCGTTAACTTGAATGGGGCTGCATGAATGGAGCTGAATGCTGAGTTTGGCCCTGGTATAGAGAAATATTGCAAGGCAGGGTGTATAGTACTATGTGCAAAAAAAGGAATCCATCGACCTATCTATATACTTCAAGGCAGATTCTCCGCTGTTATCAGTTGAGCCATTCCACTGATGTCAATGAAGTGATATTCATTGACAAGACCTGGGAGGCCTGGCCCTGTAAGTTCAAAGCCACATTATAAGTTATGACAAAAAAACCCATATATACACATACATAATGTCATGTGGATTATTCCATTTCAAGGAAGACCAATAAATATCCCAGAACAAGCAGCAATGAACCCAGTTGTTAATGGTGTAGACACCAGGCTGTGGGATGAATTTTCTGAGGCAAGATCTTATTGTCCCCTGTCTGCAAGCCCTGTCTTGCTCCGGCAGGGTTTTGCTTGAAGTCCTGCTTTTGCTCGCTTAAGTGCATCTTGAGCATCTTGCCTCTCTGCACAGGGGTGACTTCTCCCCATAAGCTTGCAGAGGTCGGAAGCCAATGGAAACCATCCTAACCATCAAGGAATGGGACATCCTTAGGGCAGTGATAGCCAAGCACTTTAGGCCAACAGACCACTGTCACCCCTCTCCATTTCTCATGGATCACTGCACAGTCCCTGCATCCAATCTTTACATGTCACGATCCTTGCCTTTTCCATCTGAAAACACCTTGCAGTGCCCAGGCACAATACCCATGGACTGCAGCTTGGAAACCGCTGCCCGAAAGCACTTGTGTAAATATTCAGACGTCTCTTCTAAAGTCTTCTGCATGCCCCACAAAATCAGAGAGAGCACAGGTAATGCAAAAATGGGCATTTAGAAAGATATGGTGGGGTTTAAGATCTGCTTGCTTGATCTGAAGACACTTCTGAATCCTTCCCCACTGCTCTCTTCACCTTCACCCCCCACTTTTTTTTTTTTGAGTAACCATTCTGCTTTACAAAATAGTGCTAAACAAAAGTCATTGCTCTACCTTTGTTTAGCTCAGGCTGTATAGGTTTCTTTCCGAGCCTGAAGGATGGGCATTTGGTTCCTGAAAGCTTGTCTAACATCTCTCCCAAGTATGCTGTTGGTCCAGTAATAGAGATCATTAAGCAGATCTATCATCTGCCATGTTACCTGGACCATCCTGGCTGCTACAACACCAATGCTAAGTAACTGGAGTCACTCTGGCTTTCTGGGAGTGTAAGAATGATGAGAGGCAACACCTATAATTAAGAGTTATCTTGGCTTTGCCTCACTGTAATTAAGATCAGAAATTTGACCAAATGCCTTGGAAGTCAATGAGGTTTTTCTGGTGTTACTGAGATTAGAATCAGGCTCTCAGGATGGTTTGCCGAACATCAGCAAAATTCAATGCCTTCTGGCAACAAGGAAAACTTCCACCTCTTACTAAGGATTCTGGTATTAGCCAAAAATTCTCCTGCGGTAACCAGCATGTACAGGAAAATATCACCAAGTGGGATACAAGCCTGGATCTTGCAAACCCACTGGGCTTCAAGTGTTTGTATGTGACCTAACATCGACTTGCTGAAAACACCCTGCGCTGCCCGTGTAAGCCAGAAGAAAGGAACAACCTCAATCCCCTACACACAAAATAAAGCAAGAAGGAAAGAGAGGAACAGCTTTGTAATACTGGTAAAAAGGACTGTCCTGATGGCTTCTGGTTCAGCATCATTGAAGCTTGCGGGATGACGCTTCCCACTTTTGCAGGGCTTTCCGTATAACGATCTTGAAGCATGTTAAGCTGTACATGGCCTAAAATCAGGAGGGATTTGGTAGGGCTTGGATGTGAGAGTCTGGCAAGTTCAAAGCGGGGGTCATGTCCAATACAGGCTCCCATTTCCGACTGGTAATGGAGGTGCAAACTGGGATGATGTATGGCAAGTGTTGGTTGGAAGGGGCGGGCTTGAGGTTGAATCCCAGTTCCAGCTGAAGATGCTGGCTAGGACTGGGCATCAGGTGGTCTCCATTCAGGTGCAGCTGCCAGGGTGCCTGGGATTTATTTTTCTTGGTTGGGTTTCTCCAGGTGGCCTTCTACGTTAGACAGGGAACGAGGCTTTGGACGGGCCCCGTCATGTTGGGCTGGTGTGTTCTGGGAGGCTGAGCCATCGCTCTGGCTTCTGGAGAGGACGGCCTCCACCGTGCCTCTGTTTAGGTTCATCTTCTCTGTGGGATTCCCCCTTCCTCTAGGATCTGCTTTGGAAGCTGCTGAGCTGCTGAAGCTGGTTGCAGCTGCAAAGGAGAGAGAGGACGGGAGCAGTTTTGGATTTCGCCTCCCACCTTGCTGCTGGTTTCATCGAGGTAAAGGGATAAATACTTACCGGACTTCGGTTTGGAGTGGATGCTGGTAATGACTGTGGGCGCTGGAGACTCTATGCTGTGGAACAAATGGCCGGCAGTAAGGTGGGCTGATGCGTGCCAGACCCTTGTGCAAAACGCTCCCCTTCCCAAAACATGGACCCATGCTGCTAGAAGCCAGCAACTTCCAAGGGATTGTGGTCCTGGATGTGGGACTTGACCCTTGTGCCATTCCCACCAGAACGGGGCTGGCTTAGGTGTAAATGGAGGTGTTGGCGGAGCCTGCGGGAACTTCTCTGTGAGCATGGAGCTAGCTGAGGGTGCAGGATGGTCCCCCTCTCTTATACCACCACCTTTGCTGTGATGTCAAGAGGTACCATGGAGCCACCCCTGGATTTGAAGGCAGTATGTTTCAGAGCCCGAGGCTGGGTCTCATAACAGAGACAGGGTGCAGGCACAGGATGGTGCTCTGGGCCTGCTCTTCTGCTGTCCTGAAAGCACACTGAACAAGGCACAGATCCAAGCCATGGCTCCCTGGGCAGTTTATGGACATCTCTTCCCCCTTGCCCGGCCAGTCATCCCGACTCACCTGCTCTCCTCCCCTTCCACCAGCTTCCTGTAGGTGAGGATTTCCACGTCCAGGGCCAGCTTGGTGTTCATTAGCTGCTGATGCTCCTTCACCAGGTGAGTCACATCCTCTTTGCCCTTCTGCAGGGCTTCCTCCAAACTGGCCAGCTTGGCACTGGCATCCTGGAGAGCAAACTCACCCTGTTCCCCAGCCTCTTTGATGCTTTCTTCCAAACTCAGGCACTGGAGGGTTCAAAGGGGGATGTTACATGGGTGGCTTGGACCCAGCTGGAAGTATCCACCCCCCAGCACCCTTGGCTCGGGCCTGTGCTACCTGCTGTCTGCATGGCCTCCCTTGTGCTCTCTGGAGTATCCTGTGGGCTGGCCCCACTGCAGTGAGCATCTAGGGCAGTGGGGCTCAGCGTTGCCTACAGCTTCAAGCCAGAAGGGACAATGAGATCCACTGCAGTCTGTATAGCCTAGACTGTGACCTTTCATCCCAATGCCCTATGTCCAGCCTGACCTCTCAGGGAGCCTCCAACATTTTGATGAGGGGCAGTGACCGAGGGCCCAGCACTGCCAGGCCTGAGACCAGCCACTGTACCTTTCCATAAGAAACCATCTTAGCAAGCCAAAACCCCACCCCATGCCTCAGTTTCCCTTCTCATCTCTGTCTGTGAGCTCCTCATGAGACAAAGGCTGTCTCCTAGTCTGTGCACAGTGCCTAGCACCACGCAGACCTAATCTTGCTAGAAGCCTTGGATCTAACGATAAATAATAGTCAATCCCAGGAGACTTGTTGTCTAGGGGGAGCCTGGGGGGAGCTGGCTCTTAGCAGGGCCCAGCTGCCATTTGTCTCCCGTTTGAGATGCCGAGCTCACCTGGCTCTTGAGGGACACTATGCAGGACCTCAGCTTCTGGATCTGTATGTTCAGGTCAGCAATCTCCCGCCGGCTGTTGAAGAGATGGTTCCCATACATGGCGGAGCGTGGGACCCCTTCATTCAGCTGCAGGGAAGAGTCTGGCATGAACTGCACCCCAGTGACAGCCCGGGAGAAGGCAGCTCCCAGGACAGCAGGTGAGCTTGTCCCTGGGACCGGGGTGGTTACTGAAAGAGGCATCTTTGTGGGGACAAGACCAAGCCTGACAGCAGCAGGGTTCAGAGGTGGGGAAGGGGGTCTCTTGTGGCCATGTCAGGATGGCAAACACACTGGGTGGCAGTGGAGTGACATGGTGCTGGGCCCTCCCACCCCTTCCCTTCCTCCCTCTCTTTTCCTTGTCATCTTTTCCTCAACTTCTGGGCTCCCCTTTTCTCTGCCTCCTCTCTCCTTTCCCTTGTTCACCTGCTGACCTGCTCCCTTCCCTCTCAGCCTCTTGCCTTTCAATTTGTCTGACTTAATTACTTCATCTGTCTTTCCAGCCACCCAGCCCCTGTCTACGCATATCCCCATGTCTATCCGTCTCATGAGCATGCATCTATTTGATCACAGTATCCTGTCTTTGGGTTGCAGGTGAGGCATTATCAGCCAGCTCTTTAATCTACTTAGCTTTCTACTTGTCCATCCAGTCATCCATCTGTGCCCATCTCGCTCGCTCTCTATTCATCCAGGCTCACACATGCTCCTTTATTTCTGCAGTTGCTATCCATCCATTCATCCTCACTTGTACCCATCTCCCCCCTCTAATTGCTATCTTTTCATCCATCCACCCATTCTCACATGCACCCATTTCTCTCTATTAATTCAGCCATAGACACACCCATCTGCCCATCCATCCATTAGCTATCACTGAGGTTGCTACTTTTTTTCTCTCCCCTTCCCCCCACACCAGCACTGGGTCTCCCATGCTGGTTAGACAGCTACCTTGCTCCAGATATGTGCTTCTGCCTCCTTCCAGCTCCAAACAGCCAGGGCTTCATACTGAGCCCTCACTTCCTCCACAATGCTGTGCAGGTCAAGGTTGCATCTGGTATCGATTCCCAGGACAACTGAGATGTCCTTCACTTCTGCTAGCAGCTCTTGAAGCTCCTGGATGACAGGGAAGGAGAATAGAGGGGAGTTGATGTGTGGGAAGGGAAGTTCTCATCAGCTCAGCCCTGGCAGTTCAGCTGTGTGTGACCAGCCAAATCTCTCCCACCTGCAGTTTGTAACCCGTGCTGGGTTAGACCACTGGTGCACTGCCCCTGCAACAGATTTTGGTTGTGCATCTTCCCAGATGCCACGTTCCCCTGCAATGGGCATGTGAGCTAGGGACACAGCAGCCTGGATTATTTTGGGTGCTAAATGCAAGAACGTATTTATGCCCTGCCACCTGCACGGTTCGTAGCTGAGATTGTGCTGGGATTTGCTACTGAAGCTACCTACATCCGTTTGTTGCAGCATATGCCCTTGAGCACTTGAGCTAATGGAGAATCTCCATCAATCCTTAACACTATAGGGCTTAGGACACATGCCTGGGCAGTTCTGATTCTATCCAGTAGGAGACACATCTTTAATACGGCATCACACATGTCCCAGAGTGAACCTCATGTCCTCGAGAACGTCTGAACCCAGGCGATGAACCACAGTAGCTGCAAGCACATGCCAGCCAAAATACAAAAGCTGCAGCTCCCAGCTCTGGGCCATTTATTTTGATGATTGATACAGTCATGGCACTGGCGGAGGGGAGGATCCGAGCAATGATGGATGCAGATACAGCTCAGTGGATCTGAAAGGACCCCTAATCCCTACTTGTAAACCATGTTTCTCTAAACATTGCAGCCAGGCAAGACCAAACCTGAAGGCTTCCTAACCCCACAGCAAACATGGCATTCATAGTTTTCCTTGCAGCTCAGAAGTCCTCCCCTTCCTTCAGTGGTGTAGCACTATTGATTTCTGCAGAGCTCTTCCAGATTTATGCCAGCGGGAGCAGAATAAGCCTCTTCCAATCCCTGCCTTTCATCTCCGTCACCCTGCTTTCGTTCCACCTTCTTGTTCCTTTATACATTGATATGCTTTGATATGTTCAGGAGGAAAAATGACCTTGTTTGCTTTGCCTTTCCCCGACTGGCAGAACAAAAGCCAGGCCAGGCTGGATGATTCAAATGTAACCCTTGAAAAGAAACCCCTTTTCATGGAATAGGATTTTAAGTGTTTCTTTCTTACCAGTGCTTAATCCCTAGTGTATATATACCTAGGGGGCATACAAAAGGCAGCTAACACCTGGATGAGCAAATGCATACTATGAACACAGAGGGCTAATTCTTCTCCTCCTTATGCCAGTAAATACATTGCTGCTGATTTTTGCTCAGAATCAGGGGTTACGTGGATGTGAAACAGGCCACGAGAGCAGAATCGTGTCCCAGATCATCTTTCTTACCTCGGCAGAGTGGCAAACTCTGTAGCCCCTTTCTTAGTGGGGGTGGGTTGATGGGGAAGAAAATGGGGATTATTGCCCAATGTCATTAATGTTCTTTTGATTATTTGAGGCTTTGCTGTGAACATTTCTCATTTTGAATCAAATCAGGATGATTTTTCCAATTTCTCTCTCCTTTCTCCCCCTTTCTGCCCTTCTTTTGCCAGAATTTGACTGTATTCCCTGCAAAAAACAGAACCCAAGAGTCTTCCTTCTCTGCTCTAACCACTGGACTGCTTTCCCCCCATGAGCTGGGCACAGAACCCAGAAATCAAGGCTCTCTTTCTACTTGCTAGTCCACCAGACCTTCCTCCAGCTGGGAACGGACCCCAGGAGTCCTGGCTCCCATTCTGTCCTGATCCTTGTCTAACACCAGGCTGTGCAGCATGAAAGATTTTCTGCTGTGAGACGTGGGAAATGTCAAACCGCTGGGACTGCTGACCCTTCCTTTCCAGTGGTGGATTATACTGGAGCAGTGGTGCTCAACCACAGGCTGGATGAGTGGCATGGGGCCAGTCCGTGGGCTGGATTGGCACAACAGACTCAGGCTCCATGCCACCTTTGCCCATCTCCATGCACTAGGAATGAGCTCCACGCTGCCCTAATGAGTGCTGATGAGCTCTGTGCCTCCCCAAGCAGCCCTGTGCCACTCAGATCAGCCCCATGCCGGCCCTATGCATCCAATCTAGCTCACAGGGCCTTGCTTTCTGGGGCTTCTCCTGGGTTCAGAAAATCTGACAGCAAAGGAGAAGCAATTTGCTGCCACTGCTCCCTCACTGCCATATTTTCAGATCCATGCAGAGCCAGATGACAGCTCCACTGGCCAGGGGTTGAGACCTCTTGTGCTAAAGAAAAGTTATGGGTAACAGATTTAGCATGCAGAGATTGAGACTCCCCCCACAGGAAAAGAGGAGATCGTCCAAGCTGAAGCAAGATCCCTGATGTCCCTCAGCTCAGCCAGGAGCACCATGGAGGCTGAGCTCCATCAGGAGGGAGGAGTAGGGCCCAGCCAGGCAGCTGTCACTTTGCACAAAGGGTGCATGCAAAAATGCAACCTGCTGCCAAAGTCAACAGCATGAGTCCCTAAGCAAAGCAGCTCCAGGGGACGATGGGCCTATGTCTTGGGAGGGTAGGGCTCCTCCTAAGTGAGCAGCCCCGGAGGCATAGGTGCGGCACTGGTCTTTTCCCCACAGATGCAGTCAGCATTGGTAGATATGCTGGGTCTGAGTTCCCATTGCCTTGTGATGAGGGTGCAGCAGGGCTCAGTGGTTAGAGAAGTGAGGCTAGGACTGTCTTCTTGTGGGAGCCCTAGTGGAGAGCATACAGTCTCAGCCACTTGGTGCATCATCTTGGGCTCCTTCTCTGTAGTGCCCCTGTGAGCCCATTCCCTAGTTATAGGGAAACCTCCCTGCAGGGGACAAGGGCTCCCCAGCCAGCAGCTCACACTTATGCTCCTGTCCTTATCGCTGCCTTTTACCTGCTCATATACAGATTTCTTCAACTCCATGTGCTCTTGAAGTCCATTCAGCTTTACCTCCAGCTCTGTTCTGTGCAAGGTGCCAGCATCCAGATCCTGCAGGTTAAGAAAGACATGACCATGAGTGGTTTGCAGGCTGGACTGGGATTTGTGTCTGGGGCTGAGAGATCTTTCCTACTGTGCACTCATTACCCATTAACTCTGCTCTCCTGCCTGCAGAGCAGGTGAAATATTTTGGGGGGTCCTTCTTCTATCAAGGAAATGGGAAAAATCATGATGCGTTTGCATCCTGTTTGTCACCCTGCTGGGAGTTCAGGGGCTGAGTCCTTGTAATTGAATCAATGCAAAAGTCTCGATGGGACAGCATCTGCTCAAGGCCCTGGACCTAATATGCCATGCTTTTGTACCAAATGGTCTGGACTTCATTTCTGATGCCTTTACAGTGGGGGCTCCTTTCCCCATTATTTCTGAGGAGGGCACTTTAAGGGAAGGGGAGCAGCTTACTTTTGGCTCTGCCCATTTCAGAGTATATAAGGAGCAAGCCAGAGTTAAGGGGTCAGTTGGCTCCAGCCTATCAAGAAGAGAAGAGCTTCAGGGCTGGTGGTTGGATGATAGGGCAGCCCCAGGTAAGGGAGGCTGCAGGGAGGCGGGTCAGAGTGGTAAGTGCAGGGATTTGAGCTGGGAGGTGCATGGTGATGGTGCAGGGGAACAGAGAGATTCAGAAAGTGAGTCTGGACAGTAGAGACCACACTGGGAGGTCTGATATAAGATGAGAGAAATGTCCCTTACTCATCTGCACCACCAATGCCTTTAGCACCCTAGGTTTTCCTTAGAGGCAGGTTTCCTGCTCAAATACAGACCCAGCATGACTCTATTATCACTGAGGGGCTTTCATGGCTTCTGCTCCTGAAGTACCTGAACATTTTGAGGGTATTTAGTGTTGTGACCCTGCCCACAATGCTTTGCTGCACAAAGGGATGGGAGGATTAACCCTACAGATGGTTACACTGAGACTTGGACCTACATCTCCAAGGCCCCATTGAGCATGCTTGGCTGCTGAAACATCTACAAGCTCAACTACC